AGTGATGGGCGAAATGACTCATTTGAATGTTTTCGAATCATTTGAATTAACTCACTGTGATGTTTCGAAACAATGATTCGAAACATTGAAACAATTGACACATTCTACCCGATACTGTAACTTCATATCATAACAACCTCATTTTGGGTTGCTATGCAAAGATATATTTCGTGCAGACTGCCGATTCATTTACTGTAAAGCACGTGACAGCAATGCGATTGTTAAAGCATTGTGAGAATTTCTGAATGATTAGGGATTTGAGCTTGTTAATAACAAATTTATTGTTTTAGGTCTTAGGTGCAGGTTAAATATGTTTAGTCTGGTTTTATTTAATTAGATTTTTTTCTCGGTGGTATAGATCTTCATTATCATTTTAAATTAATACTTATCATTACCAGAACGAAAATAGGTACGTGCTACTTGGTGTTATTTACATTAAATACTTTGAAATAAAAATGACATTTCATTATTACAGACTGGAATATAGAAATTTTTAACATTTTAAGTTAAAAAACAACCTTAACATTTACATCAACTTAAAACAACTGTGATCGTTTCAAACTTAAAATCAGTCAGCAGTTAGCCACTTATTCTTTAAGTTTTAAAAATTTTTCCGACTACTAACACAATTGATTACTAACGAACAGCCCAGCAACACAGATGGCAACACAACACAGTATATACCCAACAACGAGACAGTCGACGTGATTTTTGGAGTCGATACGATGACACGTACTGACCTCGATGTTTCGAAACAGTAAAGATTTACGACGAACAGCACAGCAACAGCAACACAGATGGCAACACAGTACTGTGATGTGGGTATTAGTTAAAAATAGTTTATGTAATGACTGTGAATATTGATTTATAGGATTTTTATTAAAAGAAAACCATGTGTTATAATTTTAACCTACATCTTACAACAACAAAACAATATATCTGTCTCTTGTCCACCGTTCACTCTCGGTGGACACTGTCATGGTTACTTGGTGGTATTCAGCCACGGAGCGGTGTGGCTGTTACATCCTCCCCTTTGCACCACCCTGGCGACTCGTGGGTGGGGCAACAGAGTCTAAGCAGGAATAGAGCTCTACAGGACAGCAATGACAACGTTTTGGTCGGGGTTGTCTACGTCTGGTAATATGGTCAGGTGCAGGTTCAGCTTCAATTTGAGCAAGGTTATCTCCAACATGGGGGCTCCATTCGCTATCGTCTAACCCAAGGGTCAAAGACTCATGGGCAGGAGACCAGTGGAGCAGGAGGGTCGGCTTCTGAGGATTTCACTGGACGACCTCTTCTACGGAGAGGTTTGAACTGGAGCAGGGCACGGATCTTCCTGGATCGGCATGGAAAGGCGTCAAGGCTGAGACATGATATTTCCCAGCAGGAACATCTGGAGTGTCGATGTGTGAAACTTCATAGGTTGTAGGGGACAGCATTTTGGTCACCTTGTAGGGTCCGTCGCGACGCGGCGCGAACTTCGAAGTTATCGACTTAGACGCGTCACTTAGTGTATGCGAATCGACTAGCACAATATCACCTACTTCGAACGAAACAGAGCGGCGGTGGCAGTCTTTATACTTCTTACGTCTATCTTGAGATTGTTCATGTGTCTCGCGGGCTTCACTAAGAGCTTTACTCAAAGTTAGTAGATAGGGCGTGATTTGTGGCACGAAGTTGTCCTTGGCTATGATGCTTCGAAAATCACGATTTGCATCATCAGGAGTTCGTAACTCGCGACCGAACGTGAGGGTACGCAGGCGTGAAACCGGTTGAGTCGCACTTCACAGTGTTCATCGCGAACCGTATAGCGGGTAACTTTTCAGACCAAGACGAATGGTCATTATTTGTTAGAATAGCTAACTGAGTTTTAAATGTCCTCTATTCTTTCGTTCGACGGGGTTAGCTTCCGGGTGGTATACAGGTATAAGGTTCTGTTGGTACCCAAAACAATGCGCCACTTGCTGCATTACCGCACTCACGAACTGAGTACCGTTGTCACTGATGACTCGACGAGGGATTCCGTATCGTAAGATTATGTTTGTCTATGAAACACTTGGCGCAGGCAGCGGCAGTAGCAGATTCTAGCGGGAATAATTCTACCCAACGACTAGCAGTGTCTTCCACTACCAGAATCCATGTATAACCTTGAGGAGAGAGGGGCAAAGGCCCAAATAAATCAATAGATAGCACTTCAAACCTCTGGGACTGAACAGGGGTTTGTAGGAGACCAGCGGGTTTGAGGTTAGAGACTTTATAGCGTTGGCACTCAAGACATTTACTTACATGGTCAGAGATAATTTTCTTCATTCCAGGCCAATAGTAGCGTTTTATTATTCTTTGATATGTCTTCTCCACTCCATAATGACCAGCAGTAGCGGAATCATGGTACTCATGCAGTATGTGAGGAATACGTGTACTAGCCACTACCAATTGGGGCTCTTCTTCATCTACTTCAGGAGTATAACGGTATAATATCCCATTGTTCATGATATATCCTCTTTCTGCCCACCTCTTGAAATCTACGCTTGTGTCAGAAGAGGGATCTTCTAAACACCTAATAATCTTGGCAACATCTGGATCATTAAGCTGCTCTTCTCGAACATCAGCAACACTAAGAGTTGGAAAATCTACTCTTACTAGATGAACTTCAGCTATGATGGGAACTTCTGTCATGGGAGGCCTTGATAGAGTATCTGCGATTACATTTTTTCTTCCTGTGATATATTCTATTTTTAGGTCATATGGCATGAGCTCTAAAGCCCATCGAGCTAACCGTCCAGTAGGGGACTTTAAGGTCATTAACCATTTTAAGGCCTGGTGATCACTTTGCACTATTGTAGTAGCGCCTTCTAAGTATCCTCGAAATTTCTTCACTGCCCAAACCACAGCGAGAGCTTCTCGTTCTGTAGTGCTATAGTTTTGTTCAGCAGGAGTCAGGAGTCTCGAAGCATACTCTACAGGTCGTTCGTTCTCTTTCTCCCCCTGGAGAAGACATGCCCCCAAAGCATAATTGCTAGCATCTGTACGAAGTATATAAGGTAAATTGCAGTCAGCTTGTCGTAGGATTGGGGCGGAACACAATAATTGTTTCAGACATTCAAACGCCTCTTGTTGTTCTGCTCCCCAGGTCCATTTCACATTTTTCTTGGTTAAATTCGACAAAGGTTTAGCAACATGGGAGAAATTTTCGATGAATCTACGGAACCATGAGCATGTTTGCAGGAATTTTAGCAGTTGAGTAACATTTAGGGGTGGTGTCATGTTTAGTATGGCAGATACTTTATTTTCACTTGGCCGGATACCCAAAGGTGAAAGGATGTGTCCGAGATATTGGACTTCCTCACAGGCGAATGAACATTTTGCTCTATTTAGACATAATTTAAATAGGCGCATCCGGTTGAATACTTGATTCAAATCGTCACTATGTGATCAGAGAAGGATGGGGATTAATATTATCAGATCATCTAAATAAGCTAGGATATTCAGATTTTGAAGACCGGCACGAAATTTATCAATCATCCTTTGGAAACTAGCGGGACTGTTACACATACCAAAGGGCATGCGTGTGTAACGAAAGGTGCCAAATGGACACACGAAGGCTGTTTTGTCACGATCAGCTGTTCGTACAGAGATTTGATGATAACCGTATTTTAAGTCGAGGGTAGTCATAAATCTGGGTTTCCTTTGCTGCATGCAAAAATATCTTCAATACGTGGCAGAGGGTACTTATCTGCACGTGTTATTGCGTTTAAGCGTCGATAGTCTACTGTTAATCTGATACCTCCATCTTTCTTAGGCACAAGTACCACGGGTGAAGCATATGGGGACTCACACTCTTCGATTATGCCTTGAGCCAAAAGTTTATCTAATCCTGACGCAGTAATTGCCTTTTGGGCTCTGACATACGGTAAGGTGGAACAGATATTGGTACATCATCAACCAATACAATGGAGTGTTCAGCATTATGGAGTAGGGTCTCTATTATATACGAATAAATCAGAATTTTCCTTAACAATGTTGTTAAGATTGGATCTTTCTTCTAAGGATAGAGAAATTCCTTCATCTGCTCGTAGTTCTAAATGAGCAAGAGTAACGCTATTGACCTGGCAAGGAGAGC